TTTTTAATTTAAAAAGTTCTGAAAATGTAATTTAATTAGCTGTTCTTCTGTTTACATTTCTGCTTTCTTTTATCTCTTAAAACTAAAGTGCACAAGTCTTTTGTATATATACCTGCCACAGTGCTCAGCTAGTTTTTCTATTTTGGGTAGAGATAGGAATCTCACTCTCACTCAGGCTGGTCTCTGAACTCCAGAGCTCAGGCAATCCACCCACCTCAGCCTCCCAGAGTGCTAGGATTATAGGGGTAAGCCACTGCACCTGGCCTTACTTCTATGTATTTTGACAATCTATCTATAGATAGATAGATAGATAGATAGATATACACTATATATGAATACACACACAGTAGACCTCTGTAAGCTGACCACCCAAGGCACTGTAACAAAGTAGTCAATATATGGAGGTGGTCGACATAATGAACTAGGCCAACTATACTGATATGTACGTGTGGTGCATGTCCAGTCTATGAAAATTAGTTAGGGAGGTAGTCGATGTAGGGAGGTGGTTAACTGTGGAGGTTCTGCTGTAGATCCATGCTAACAACACCACAATCAAGGTTTTTATTTTTGGTGTCACCACTGTGTCTTTAGGTACTGAAATACCCAGAATAATGAGTTCTAATACATTGTTTGGAAAACCATGATAGAATTTTAAGGTTTCAAAGGACTTTAAAGGTGATTCTAATCCAATTAAAAGGAATGATTAGTAATTATTCTGTATTCTCTAATCTTAATATTTCAGGATTTGGTGGAGATATTCATGCTTGCTTTTGCCAAGTCATTGATTATTTTATAGCTTTTGGTCATAATAAAAACAAACAAGGAAGCAAATAAAGAGAAAGGTTGAGGAGCACCAAAATATGGCCACAGAAATAGTTCAAGCTCTGTGACTACTCCGTACCTCATTTTCTTCATTGGTAAAATAAATATAACTACACCTCTCCCATTACCACCCTGGCAGGGTCACTCTGAGTATAAAATACAGAAAATGACTTAAGGATGTTATGCAAATGTAAAATGTTCTCATCATAAAATGAAATGTGCAATGCATAGTTTGTATGTCCACATACATTGTCAGCTTTAGGGACACATTCCTTCGTCCGGTACCATTGTATCTTTGTCGTATGTAT